TGCCTCTTCAAAACCTTGGTGCGTCTTATACTCCGGTGCGTCTTATACTCTGAAAAATACGGTATATAAATCAGGGATGTCAAACTCGCGGTGTCATGTTGTTGTCATTTAATGTATCATAACTTTTTCCCCTCCGCTAAACTGGGGGTGGGCATAACCAGCGCATGTCACATCCAGCCTATGGGCCACAAGTTTTACATCCCTGATATGAATGAAATTGGGGGGAGAGGGGGGAGTGCATTTTTCTCTAAAACTAATTTCCATCTGCAGAGATAAACACTACATTAAAAACCCCAAAAGTCACACTAGAAATCATAACTTACATTGCAATCTGTGGTAGGTTGAGGAGTGGGCAACTGCACCATATATCTCCAAATATGAGCTGTCTGATCTCCTGAAGCTGTAGAACAAAATTAACACTCTCTGAACAGCTATTTTGATTTTAATTCTCCGAAGCAGGAGAGGAGTGGAAGCAAGCAATATGTATAAGTGATCTTTCCTCTTTCCTAATTGCTTTCTTTTCTAATATATAAGCCCTCTTAAATTATTACAATGTACACACAGGCTAGTCTTTAAAGCTGTCCTGCAGGCTTTTCCAATCTGGAAATATAAATATTGAACAGAAAGAATGAACATCTCTCGTTCATTGAAAGAAACTTGAATGGATTTTCCACAATACCAAAATCCCAGGTGCACTATAAACCTATTCCCACTTAATCTGAAATAAATTAGGAGGTACATTTTTTTCTCAAGTATCGAGTGAACATAATTTATCAGGATAAACACCATTTACATACCTGTAAGAGACACCTGTTCTGTTGGATGAAACTTTATGGAATTTACTGCATTAAAGAAAAAATAAACATACGTTAGAAGAACAAATTTAGAAGAATATCTAATTTTCCTGTTTGAAATTCATCTCTCTACATATTCTTATTATACAGGAAAAGCTAGGTTTAAAGAAAATCAAGAATGAAGCTATTTTTGAAAGAGGGAATAACAAAATAGAAACATAACAACTGAGAGAAAAACCAACTTCATATGGCACCACTGGACAAAATCTCTCAACAGAAGGAATAGTTTACCCAATCCATGAAGAGCTAAGGTTCCTGAAGGAATGATTCCATTCATAAGAACATCGGACAAGAACTTGCTGTGGAATTGAGTACATTATGGAATCATCATTGCACAATCTCTATCAATAAGCTTTTAACAAATATTTTAAAAACTATTATTTGCCCTTCTATTTGGAACAATAAGGTTTTTACATGAATATTTTAAAAATTGGTATTCCTCTTTCTGTCTGAAATGATACATGGCAGAATTCTACTATTTAGTTTTGTAATGTGATAATGATTTTTTTAAAAGATAGAACTTATCTTATTAATAACTCTCATGTACAAAAGGTAGCAAACTACTTACTTTTCATGCTTACTGAAATGGGACACCCAAAGGGCACACAGAATGGATAAGGTCCTGCACAAAAATGTTCTTAAACTCTCTACTTAAACTCCTACTGTACACAAATTCCAAGAAGAGTCACTTACTCAATACATATGCAATTATAACAGATAATTTTCCCTCATGGTTCTTATTCACCAACAGTTATTTATTCTTACCTGATCCAGCATGTCCAACATATTTGACAAGACACTTTCCTGTCTCTATGCTCCACAGCAAAGCAGTATGATCTGTGAGAATTTTAAAAAAGAATTGAGGAATTAAAATAATGGATGGATGGATGTGGATGGATGGATGGATGGATGGATGGATGGATGGATGGATGGATGGATGGATGGATGGATGGATGGATAGATAGATAGATAGATAGATAATCAGGAAATGAAGACTAGACTATGATCTGTTCTAATCTAATCATTAGAAATGCAAAATACAATCTGTGGCTGAAACAATAGATATGATTTTTACCAGCTGATGCTGTCCCAAGCACCACAGGTTGCGTTTTTGTGACACTGACATCCCAAATGCCATCTCGATGACCAATATACTCTTTCACTAGCTGACATATTGCCCTGGATGTTGTTGTTTTGAAACTGGAGACTATCTAAGGAGACAAAAGGCAGGTATCTGATAAGTAGAGAAATTACCCCCAAACTCTTGCAACACATAAAGTAAGAACCATTGAAGCACTACTGTAGCCAAATCAACGGATGCATAAGCTTTAGCATATTCTCTGGAACCAAATTTGTCCTGAATAAAGCTAGGATGCCGTTCTATGTAGGTACAACAGACGAATTTGGCCAGATTGAATCTTTTTCGGATATAATAAAAGCATACAACTTCCGATATGTTTTTTCATATCTTATGATAATACAAGTAAGTATAATCTGCAGAGCACTTCTCTTTTTCTTCTATAATATGTTGTATGCACCATACAAGCCAACTTATTAAACGCAGCTAGCTCAAAGGAGTTAGGAGGGAAGAATGAAAAAGATGCGTAAAAATTCAAAGCTCAGAGCCATATGAAGTTGTATTCATATTAACTTGGAAGTTCAGACCAATTCCTTTTGTGTGACATGAAATGTTTTTTTCAAGAAGCAGCACAGAAATAATACAATCAAAATTTTAAAATAATAAGAGAAACATGAAAGCAAGAATGATTTATTTTACTATCTTTAGATAAATAAATGTATCGGGTGGATAGAAGAAAACACTTTCAAGTTGGAACTGCTATATTGGAAAAAAAATCAGCATGGACAAGCAAGCAGCAGTTCACACTCTTAAGTGACACAGCCTGTGTGCAAGGATTAGCAGTGCAGGACTATCAGTTTACTGGATTAGGTAAATGCTGGGTCACTGGACTGGAAGAAGTAAATCAGTAATACTTCTTGGCTGGAGCAAACTAATCTAATACAAGCTACACTAATGTGGCCATCCAAAGTGTTTTTGTGCAATAATTGCATTGTCTGATGGGTAGAAAGGGGATTCCATGAGTGATGCAGTAGCATAATAAGCAGGAGGGCCTCAAGCAAGGTCTTGCCCTCAGGTTCCTCACTGTTCTCAAGAGCCCTATCTGGCCTACCATGAGTCACTGCCAAAATGGTTTGAGAAAGAACAAGATACTCAGAACACCTTATATCAGAGGTATGGCCACCCCTGGAGGACATGAAATGGTTTCTCATTTCAATCATTCAACTTCCCTTATCAGAAAAAGATGGGTGGAGAAAACTAGTTCTACTCTTGGTCTTTCAATGGCTGCCTTTGTCTTTGCATGTTAACAAGCAACAGCATCAGTTTTATTCCATGCAAAATGTTTTCTTCATTTTGATCCTGATGTGTAATGTTCTCCAGTCCAGATAAGCAAGACTGGGAATACAGCTAACCTTTATATTACATATACATCTTCATCATTTAAGTGTTTGGACGGAAATCATATAAGAACTTTACTATGTCATTAATATGATTTATGCTAAAATCTGCAGCATCTCAACCACATTTACTCAAGCTGCTAGACCAAATTCTGGATCAGCTGCAACCCAGTAATGTACTATTAGTAGGTACTCTCTATATGTTAAATAATACCATCTGTTTGGAGCTATTTGTGTAGGCATCAAGAAATCACTATGAAAATTGTTACTTATGTTATAATTGGGAAGAATGGCTAGATGAGATCAATCAGTGAAGACTCGCTGAACCGGGACAGGGAGTGTAGATTGCTGTTCCAGGACTGCAAAAAGCTGTGTTAGTTATGAAATATGAAATAGTGCGCCCTCTGAAAATCCATGCCACAACATGTGTGCTAAATTGTATCACTATACCCATTGTATCATATCTTGGAATATCCATTCAAAGTTCTGGAAGAGGAATATATTTCTATTCACTCATAATTTATGACAAATTTTGCTACCATACAGTGTTACAGTTAATATAAAAATAAGGAGGGGGAAATCCAACTGATTTCTTCAAAACTAAACTGTCCTGCTTTCTCAAGGCCATTGTCAAACTTTCATACTAGTTTTTTGCCATCTGAGCATGAAGCCCAAGTCTACAGTCTGAAATATAGGTAAAACTTTTTGAGACTTTTTTGCCAAACATTGGAGTAAGGAAAACCTTACTATAGATCACAAAACCTATGCATCATAACTCATTTTTGTTGTACGGATTATGTTAAATATCACTAAGCTGGATCTAGCAGACTTCATAGAAAACTGAAGTATGTGGTTGTCTAATATGACAAAATATTCATGTAATTATGAAATATAGAATTCCAAGAATATTTCAATAGCAGTGAAAGATTACAATTGGATACTTTTGCCACATGTACTGTGGCAATTTTTCTTTTAAAAAGATTTAAAAATTATAAAATCACCCTAGAAATCAGAATCAACTACATAGTTTTTAAAAAAAATAAAAATAAAAGCCTCATTAAACCAAAATGAGATTAAATTAATAATTAAATTTTAAAAGGTATTATCTGACCATCAAACATAGTAAAACATCTATCAAATTTTGTTATTGAAAATATTCTTAGGAATGTTCAGTGATTAAAAATAAAAAATAAGGCATTGTGTGTGTGTGTGTGTGTGTGTGTGTGTGTGTGTGTGTGCGTGTTTTCAATTAAAATTTCAGGAGGAAAATAAATAAATTTAAGGACTAGAAAAAGCTGCAACAATATAATTTTCAGCTTTTACCTCTTTATTTATCTTTACAATAATGAAATGAGACCTAGATGGAACTATAATTTAGTTGTTAATGAGAAGAATTGTTTCCAAGCCAGTATAAGCAATAATTACTACAGATGCACTGCAAAAGGAACAGGTTAATTCTTGCAGAACTAGGAAGGGATTAGTATTTGAACCATAGTGTAGCATTAAGCATAAAACTGTCAAGGCAGTATTAAAATTCAATTGAAATTTAATACACATCTTCAAACAAAATGGAGTTATGTAAGAGTAGTGGAACAGTAGAATATATTATCGCAACAGTTCTCACATACCTTATCAGTCTTAATAAGACATAGTGAGGAATAAAATGAATTACCAAACTGTTTTAGTTTCCTCAGGAAATCTTCTGTACCCCTGTAATTGACTGGTCTAATTTTCAGGGGCTACAGTGTTTCCCCCTCTTCCCTTAAAATATCATCTTTAATGTCATTTCATATTTTGAGTTTCCTTTTACTTTTAAAACAATAATGAACATGTCCTTTCATATATCCCAAACAGCAATAGGACAACATCAAAACTTTCTGCTCTACTTCAAAATGTGAATAAAGGGGCCAGTCACTGTTCACCAAGTTATGTTCAGCAAGCAGAGCCAGGGAATCATGCTAATATGCACACTAAACCACTACTATTAAAATTTCGATTTCAGTTCTTAGCTTATATATATAGACAAGAGTTTAGAAATGCCTCATTTTACACTAAAAATGGGGAGTTTTTTACACTACAAAATGGGTATGTTTCTGCTTTGAAAAAATGTGTCTTATAAATATGTGTTCTTAAGGAAGCCTAACCATGTGATAGTAAGGTCAAGGAGATGTTGTTCAACCAGTTACACATTCTGTTGGCTAACCTCCACGAAGTAAACACATTCTAAGAGCAGTAGATATCCTACTGTGCACAGCGGAAGACAAACTAAACTGTTTCCTGACTAGCAAATGACAGTTCCCTCTTCAATTGCTCAAAGTTTTCAAATGCAAATTCACCGTACTTTCTTATAATAATAATCATCCTGCTCACCATTTCAATCTGGCAAATTAATGCAAGAGGAATTTGTACTGTAGACTCCTGTAACAATTACTTGGGCTTTCATTTAATGATTCATGTGTATTTTGATCACAACCATAAGACATGATACTTAAAGAAAGACAAATTTATAGTCCCAAAATGTCAAAAATCTCATTCAAGGAACTTGCAAAAAGAAGAGCAGGCAACCTCTTGGTAACTGAAGGTTGGACTTTTTCATTATCATTATTTATTTTGAGATAGTGAAATCCCCAAGAGCATAACTCAGCATGTTAAAGCCAATATTCTCAGGTTTTCTTGTTAATTTTCAATCATATTTCTCATTTCATTTTTTTTAATTTAAAGAAATATGCAAATTTATGAGACATTCATCTCTGGGGTTCAGCAGCAAGATTTGGGGATCACAGAAAATAGTGTGTTCAGAAATTACATTTAACCAACCTTTACAGATGCCAATCAGTTTTAAATACAGTTTGCCATGCTGTGTTCCAGGGAAGGAATTATTGTTCCTGAAAACCTCACAAAGCACATAGAATTAGTTATGCAATTCTTGATTCCCAACCCAAATATTTTATTCTTATATTTTGTGAATTTGATTAACGTGGATGGTTTTATTATTATTAATCTTACAGCAAACAATAAATGCTACTATTACTACAAAGCATTAATTTAAACATGTTCACCATACTACAGCAAAAAATTGTTGAAATATTCCTATTTCTGAAACCTTAAAGGAAGCTCATTCTCTTTTATGAACAGTTTAGACAATTTATAGATTTATATTATGACTTGTTAAAGAAACAGACTTAAAGAGGAGCCACAAAGTTCATAATGGAAACTCTTTGCCACCATCAAAGCTTGTAATACAGACCAGGCCATTAGCAGCAAACAAATGTGAACATTTCTTCACCAAAGGACTATTATATGTACAGACACTGCATTATCTTTATTTACGAAAACTTAAGCACCCAGATAGCAAAATATATAATGTATGTATTTAAAATAAATGTTTATTTACTGAACATGTACTGGGTCTTGCAAGATTAGGAAATCTGCTCAAGACATTTCTATTTACCTTTGCTTCTGGTTAAGTCATTTATTGTCTTTTGATAGTACTGCTATTCTGCCTGCCTGCAGTTTTAGGAAGGGTTATAATTTTATTTATGTTTTCATTATTCACTGATTTATTTTTTTTAATCTATTGTTTTTAACGAAGTACTTTTATAATCAAAACTGAACTGACAGTACAGTAACCAAAAAAAGCAGACGTAATGTGCAAATACAGTGCCAAGGCATAAACTATGCCTGTCATAATAAAAACTGTAGCCTATCCAATCTCAGAGACTGATAACAATAAAAACAGTAAACAGGAAACATTCTGTTAACAATTGATATATATACGCAATATTTAAACATGAGCAGTAAAAAGACCTCCAGGTAAAGCACCAATTGATAAATATAATATCCATGAAGAAAAACTGGTTGAAATGAGATTCTGTATGTTCCACCACTCACTACTGTTTAGCTGGGCATGCAAATTGGCACACTGGGAAGCAAAGCAGTTACCCAGGAGTCGCCACCCCATATTTCCCAGCTTCCCACGTTGAATTTGCGAGGTCCACCTGATCTCCCTGGGAAAGAATTTGAGCGCTACATAGCAAGTAAGAAAAGATAGGCATTCAGCACTTGCTTTCAAAGAACAGAAAATTTACAATACACAATATGCATACTTATATATGATCTAGAAACTGAAGACTACTTTTTAATAGATTAAAAAACATTAATAGAGAAAAATGCATTTCCATTGTTTAAGTACATAATGAAAGTAATATTGCAGAAAGACAAAGGATAAATATGTTTTCTATTAAAAATAACAAATGTGTGCACAACTAATTGTCAGATAGAAACCATTTCAGTTTTTGTAAAAAAAAAATACTTGCAGGAAATGTGTGATTAAACTTTGTATATTAGCTTTTATATGTTTTACTCTGTTTTTATATTGTAAAGTTGCCAGGTGTAATTTATGTTGAATCTGGCAGCATAATAACACTATGTATGTATGTATGTATGTATGTATGTATGTATGTATGTATGTATGTATGTATATGTTTATTTGATCTAATGAAAACAGAAAATGTAATGATTCTACAATACTACTTCAGCACAAAGATTACCAGATTAAAAATTGATCAAAATACCCCGAATACCTTCCCCTTGCTATATTTTCCCAATATGGAGTTTTCCAGATGTATTTGGAAGCACACCTCCCAACTTCTTAGAAAATTCCAGGAATTTGAAAAACTTTATCCTACCATACTTAGTGGATACAATTTTGGATTTGTTTATACAGTTTGGATAATTTCCAAGTATGAAGGAGAATACTAGTACATAATCTTCTCTCCTGCATAAATGTAAATTACTTGCAGGTAGTTAAGTAATTTAGTAAACATTTTACAGCTGACACATGCTTGATAATTCTAAGCAAATTAATGACAGTTACAATCAGATGCAATCCAATTTTTGATAAAGGACAAATTAAAATGACTATAAACTAATGAGCAAAATGGATTTAACAACTGAAGTGTCCCATGTTATAATTAACTGCTAAGGAATTTCTCACAATAAAAATAATAACTTTGCATCTTATAAAAAAACTTTTGATGTTTTACTATAAATTTATTTTGTCACTCTATTTTCTATTTTCTTTTCTTAATTATTTATTTACTGAACTATAACTAAAGGACAAGACCATATGGCAATTCAGGGTTAATGTTGATCACACTAATCTCTGCAATATGAGATGGGACTACATCGGGATGGCATCAACTTCAAAGTTCAACCTCATGAAGACAGACAATAATAAAAAGTAAGTAAAATTAAACTGATAAGTATATTGTGGTTCCATAAAAGACTTGATATGTTTCATACCTTGCTAGTTGATGCCTTGTAAGTAGTCTTTAATTTCTGAGACAGCTGACTGGTACTATGGCTGGCTGTTGAAACAAATACATTTAAAGGAAGTTTGTTTTGAAACACATTGGATTACCTTACTTGATTGCTAACATCCTTCTAACTGGTTGTCATCCTAAATTATGAAAAACCAACTAAGAGAGGAGTATTTTTCTCAACTCTCTTCTTACCTTTTGTTTTCAGCTGCCCCTTGCTCAATTCTGCTCCATCAATGGCTTGGCCTTCAGCTGCTAAGCGTTCATTAAGTGTATCAATCTCTCTGCGTACTATCAGTAGCACAAAAATTAATGTCAATGCAAAGAAGAATCATTAATCACAATTTTTAAATTACCACATAACCCTTATCTCAAAGGCCATTATGTGCAGGATCATAATTTCATAAACTTTTGTGTTTCTTTGTGTGCCGCAATTATAAAAAATACATAATAGGAAAGTAATTAACTCTCTAAATCTTGGATAAAACTCTGACAATGGATCTTAATTCTAAAAATACTGCTTCTAAGAGATTCATGTTGATGCAAATATCAATCAGTAAAACTAAATGAAAATTGAGGAAGGAAAAGTTTGGTATCTCCCTTCCGGATTCAGGAAGCCATTGCTTGCCAAATAACTTGTTTCTGTATGTAATTCCTCTCCAAACTGGAAACAATAAACACAACATATCCAGCATCCAGTCTGGATATCTGCAAACAGAAAGTTATATTAATGAACACAAGTAATGAATTAGAGCCTCTGTAGTTCCTCAACTAGAGGATTTACAAATGTACTAGGATGTTTGTACAATAGATATATTTACATAACACACACAAAAACATAAACAATAGTATGATCCCCCAGGCATTCTAAGACCTAGGGAAGGGAAAATAGGCTGTACACACTGGCCCCCAAGACCCTTGGTCTCTGATCTTCACTCCCAAGCCAACAGAATACCGGAAGGGGGAAATCAATATCTGGATGAATATTGACAGGGTCTTCCCCAAGGCTGGAAATCAAATCACATAGGGTTCCTGAGAAAGTTAAAACATGAAAACAAGCTTCCCCTCCAAACTTTCTACCAATGGACAATAGCCTTAGGATGCAATTCATACGATAATACAGAGTAGAACATTCTCTTTTCCATAAGTTCCTGAAGGCAAAATGAGAATAACTTTCATAGATGACTTATTTGAGAAATAAAGTATTCCTAATTACCTTTTCTATGCTATCCCTTAACTGTAGTTGTTATAAAAGCAAAATATAGTTATTATTTAAAGCAGAGGCTCATAATCATTCTTCATTGGAATCCAAAAGTGTAGATTTTTTTTGGTAAAAATGAATTGGCATTATAGTGCTAACATAAAGCTAACATATCTGAATGGTTATTCCAGTAAGCTTTGAAATAAGAAGAATCAAATGAATATGCAATTAAATCTTGTTACGGACATCAATTACAACTAAAATACTCAATGAACAGGATTATGGGAATTTTAGGCTAAACGAGCCAACGTGCACCAAACTATCTGTCCTGGGATTAATCAACATTAGTAGTAGAAATCTCAACTAAGAATGTAGGCTTTTATTTCAGATAACCTAGACATTTTAACTAACCATTCAGAGTTAACATGTGATTGACTGGGAATGGAGATCCAGAATTACAGTTTTGCGTCTAGCATCTTTCATCAGCATCTTATTCCAATTTAACATTTTCCCCCAAAATTGCAAAAACATAAACTCACATTCAAGATTCTCAATGTAGAGGTTCTCAAACTCTCTTTCTATTTGACCAAAAAGTTCCAGAAGTGTATTTCTAATGGATGATGGTAGCTTTGAATCCTAGGAAAAACAAAAATATCACAGTTAAGGCAGAATTTTCCAGGAGTTTGTTCTTTTTGTGTAACTGGCCCCTTATGTAAAGCCTCCTATTTCCATTATCCCAAAGCACAGATTTCAAACCATCCTTCTATCCACTTTTCTCAAACCATACTTTTGCCACATAATGGACCTGTACAAAGTTATGATTGAAGAAAGGGCAATTACATGAATAATGGGTCTATAAACAAAGCCTTATTCAGGGGACATGGACACACGGACACACACACCCAAGACTTCAGTAAACCTACAAAGGAGCAGAAATAGATTTTATATACAATGATGAAATATATCCATCTCAGACAAAAGAGAACAATCCATATGACTCAAAAGTGGCAAATTTCTCATGTTTATATCAGTAGGTTCTACCTTTAATATCACATAATGGTTAAGTTACTGTTGGTGAACAACCGTCCCACTTGGGAGAGCGAGAAATTAATCTGGCTGTTACTTAAACACAAGAGGGCAAGTTCTGACCTCCCAGTTTTCAATGTATTTGAGAATTAACTAGCCTTTCTCAGGTGAAAGCTGCCAGTCTGAGATGATTCCTGTTAAATAGGCATAGAACAATAAAGTTGCTAGTTGAGCTCTACATAGAACAATAAAGTTGCTAGTTGAGCTCAGTCAAGGGACTGGTTGTTCACATCTGATAGTTTACTTCTTTTAAAATTTTGAAATTTTAAATCAATAATGGTGCACAAAGGCATTCTAACAATGATTAATCCTTGGCAATACTATTTCTCCTTCAGTTCAATAGCAATAGCATTTAGACTTGTATACCACTTCACAGTGCTTTACAGCCCTCTCTAAGTGGTTTACAGAGTCAGCATATTGCCCCCAACAATCTGGATCCTCATTTTACCCACCTCAGAAGGATGGAAAGCTGAGTCAACCTTGAGCCTGGTGAGAATTGAACTGCCAAATTGCAGACAGCCGGCAGTCAGCAGAAGTAGCCTGCAGTACTGCGCTCTAACCGCTGTGCCACCATGGCTCATAATAACATACCAGATATAACAAGAGTAGCAAATCAGTATCCCTTAGTTCAAGCCTACAGCAAAGATGAAATTTTACCAAGAGTTTGGCTGCATATTTGCTGTCGATTCAAAACTGAAAGATGATTTAATTTTTAAAATGATGTTTGAAATATAAATGTTCAAATAAACTTCCCTAAAGCAAACTTGCAGGAAAATGCTATGTATGCTGAAACATCATATACATTGAAGGGCAAAAAATAAAAGACTGAGATAATAGAACTCAAGCCACTTCCCAAAACAAACCAGCTCACATCTACAGAAATGAACTGAATCAGACTTCAGGATGTGTTATCTATCTTCTACAATTTGAATTCATAGTACAGTCAGAAAATGAATTACATACAGGTAATCCTCGACATACAACTGTTCATTTAGAGACTGTTTGAAGTTACAACAGCACTGAAAAAAGGGACGTGATGTTCTTCACATTTATGTAGGTTGCAGCATCCCCAAGGTCATGTGATCAAAATTCAAACGCTTGCGAACAGACCCATATTTATGACTAGCCTGGCAATGTCCTAGGGGTGATGTGACTCCCTTTTGCGATCTTTTGACAAGCAAAGTCAATGGGGAAGCCAGATTCACTTAACAACCATCTGACTAATTTAACAACTGCAGTGATTCACTTAACAATGAGGGGAATAAAGGTCCTAAAATAGGGCAAAATTCACTTAACAATTGTCTCAAGTGTTGTCAAAAGTCGAGGGCTACTGAAGACTCTTGGACATTGTCATGATAGTAAGTGAAGAAACCCAGGGTTATATCCAAGTGCATTTTCCCTACATTTGAACAGGAAATTTCAACCTTGCTTTGACATTGGATTTTAGGTTTGTTTTAGGACCTTGCAGAGAATGTAAAATTGGGGAATTAAGTGATTTTATCAGGATATTAATCTATTTTGATCAGACAGCAGTGAAATCAAGCTCCCTCTTTCAATCCAGTTTACCTGGCCTTCCAGCATCTCTCTCTGCAATCCTGATCTCTCTTGTTCAGAGCTGTTGGTTCTTCGTATAGAAAGACTATGAGATTTTCGTTTCTGCTTGGCTTGGCGAGCAGTGGCACAGCTTCCACTTTCTGTGGGCATTACTTCAAAACAATCACTTTCCAATAGCTGCAAAGATAAACTAAAGCCAAGTATTAAATATTATAATTTGATCTAGGTAAGAAATTATTTTCTAAATAGCAAATGTAAGGGAAACATTTAATCTTACTAAAATATACCATTGTGGTAAGATGTTACGGTAATGACCAATGAGATAGTGAAAAATCTTACTACAGACCTTTTAATATTATTTGCCAATTATTAAGCCATTCCATAAATATAAAAATCCTTTTGAATTATAACTATTTTCCAAATGCAAACCCTTTGAAAAATCAAAAGTGTTTCTAAGAAACCCATATCTATATATACTTCCACAACACAGATTTGAAGACAGGAGCCTAAGAGCATGATGCCTGAATGGCAGTAACAAGCAAATTATTTAGATTCAAAAACTGCATTGATGCCTTATTCTAAACTGCAACAATTTAGTATATATAGTCATTAATAATGTTCTATGTCAAATTTCATGACCATAAACTCTACCGCAGGGATAAACTTCCCCAAAAGTTTTCAGCTATTAATAGTACTGGTACTGTGAAATAGATTTATTAATGCTGTAATACTTTCCTCTATTAAGTCACTGTTATGCATGTTAAAATTTAATTCCATAAATGAATTTCGATTAAACTATCTAAATTACCCAACAGAACACTTCAACCTCTCTCACTCATGCATGAACAATTTGGCGCCCCTAAACCATCAAACTATGTGACATCTTTTGCAGTGTCAAATGAACTATTTGAATCCCACGCTATAGATGACCCTATTAAGCAAAGACCATTTTCCATCTCTTTATCTATCTCAAATTCAATTAGTTTTGGCTGCAATAATTAACAGCTCTTTCTTTAGAAACCTAAAAAGTAACTACCATTTATGCAGCAACTTTCCTTGATAGCTAAATTAACTTCCTTACCTCATGAAACAAGAAAAAATGAGTGTGATTTTGATGGTTAGAAAAAATGAACAGAAAAAAATGAGGATTGTTGCAATCATAATAAAAGATAATGCTGTAATACTTATATTTGCTGCAGAAGAAATCAGAAGTTTCCTTCTATTTCTTTCTATTCTTTCTCATAGAATTTTTTCTCTTTTTTGGTTCTTTTTTTATTGGCTTGGTTAGTTTGTGTCAATTTTACACTGTCTTTAAAACTTTGAATAAAATTTATTTTTAAAAAAACAACCGTTCTTTTTTTTTTAAGGTAGGCCTTGCTTAATTATCTTAATCAAAACAGGAAGTTCCATCACTAAATGAAGTGATCATTTGGGAAAACATTGTGTGACTGCATCTCTTAATGACAGCAGCTATAGTTATTGTTAGACCTGGATTAGTTAGACAGTTAGACACTGTCAGATATTTGCATTTCCTTCTTTCTCTATTAACTCTGTACACACAAACCTCTGGCCTTGAGGTATGTAGTCAACTCCTATCTTACAACATTAGAACTTCCTGAGTTTTTTTAATACTTCTCTATTCCACCTCAAGCAACAAAAAAAAAACCAGAAACCACAATATAAAATAAACCTGGGTACTGTATTAAGTCATGTTGGCATCTATCATTTTGTTACTTGTGTAATACTTAGACAGTTTGTGCTAACAGATGATCCTCAATTTAAGAGCCATGTTTAAACCTGAAATTATGTTTGTAACTTGTGCCAGTCGTTAAGTGAGTCACCATGTGACTGTAACTGATTTTATCTTTTTTTTTTTACCACTGGATATTAAGCAAACGTCACGATCATAAACCAAATACCATGGTTGTTAAGAGAATCCATTGCCCGCAAAGAATGTATTTTCCTGGAAACCAAAAGTAAACATCAGTTTCCAGCAAGAAAGCCTTAAATTATGATCATGTGAGTATGGGATGCTACAAATGGTCATAAATGCGAACCACTTGCCAAGAGCCATAACATCATCATGCAACTAGGGAAGGGGATGAACGAAACTATCGAAACTTTGAATTGAGCAATTAAGTGTCTCTGAATGGTCACTAAGCGATTGGTTGTAAATTGAAGACTATCAATAAGCTTATAGTCAGATTTAGATAGACACTGTAAAGCTTAAATATTAAAAGAGAAACAGACCAGGCATAAGAATTTTTTAAAAAACCATCCATTTTGAGAACCCAATAAAAATTCTTTACTCAGAAATTGCTAATAGCTTAGACAGCTACACATTATCACTTGTGTTTCACAATACTAACATCCTATCACCCATGATCATGCATCCGATGCATAAATATCAATAATATATACAAAAATCAAGAACATCACTGGATGCAACAATGTAGATTATTTCACAATTAATGTAGATTTCTTCTGATAAGCAAAGTCAATGAGGAAGCCAGATTCAGTTAACAAGCATGTTACTATCTTAAGAACTGCAATGATTCACTTGACAAATGGCAAGGAAGGAGATAAAATTGGGCAAAATTCAATTAACAATTGTCTCACTTAGGAATAGGAATTTTAGGCTCAATTGTGGTCATCAGTTAAGCACTACCTATTTAAGGTCTATCTATTTCTTGGTGGATTGAAAACTTGCAATAAGTCAGTTTGCAAGTCTCAAAGTTAAGCCTCTCTCTCAGGAAACTGTGGCCCTCCAGAATCTCAGCTTGCTCAGGCCACCTCAACCTGCCAAAAGACATCTGTAAGGCTATACAACTCTATATAATTGCAACATAGCATGGTTAAATCAAAAGGCCACATGAACTCATTACATATGTAAGCTCTAAAGTCACTACATTTTGACATGAATTTAGGGTAGGATATTCTAACAGGCAGAGAAGAAATACTTAGCAATAGCTTGCACAAGTTACTCAACCAGGTCATAAGACATAGGAGACATTACTGCAACCCTACCCATTTTTATGACACTGCTGCAGGCAAAGCGTGCTACAATGGCTTTTGACATAATTTCCCAAAGGCATATTTTGGTTTTTATGATTATTGAACAAATGGAAATGGGAAAGGAAAGGTGGTAAGACTATTCCTGCTAAGAAGGCTTCTCTGTTTCAGCAACCTTCCCAATATATTGTTTTCTTTTTAAAGATCTCTCTCATCTTTTCCTCAAGGGAAACATATTCTCCACTCTTTTCCTTCTATTTCACGTCCACAAAAAACTATCCTATGAGATAAATTGGGCTGAGGAAGCACCTATTCCAAAGGGAGTTTATGTGGCTGAAGTAAAACCTTGATTTATCGAAAACTTCTATTCCTCTACCCCACTGGCTCTACTAGATGCAGTTGTATAAAACACTTTACTGTGAAACTTTAATCATATTTATATCTTCATTCCACAATTGCTCTCTCAAAATGTACCCCATATTTGATATGGAAAAAGAGATTAAAATATTTATATTCTTTCAAATGACACTGACTCACGCAAAGCTTTGGGGTTTTTTTAAATTACCCAATAGCACAATGCAACTTGAAGTCTTCTTTCAAGAACCCAGACTATGCTTCCCTTTGTCATCTGCAACTATTTTCCTAAAATATTACCATGGAGTAGATGCAACAAATTTGAGTATATAGAGGCAACTTCTGGATGCATGTGAACCACATCGAGAAACTTACTCCACAATAACCAGATAAATCATTTTGTGTGGAGTAATGTCTCTAGATGCCCACAAAGTCTTAATAGATAACACCCTACGCTCTTCTAAGAGTATGGTTGGTACCAGATCTGGGTCAAACAGGTGTCTTACTAACCCAGTAACTAGAGGCCTGCTAGGTCTAGATAGAACGAAAACAATGGCTTTGAGTTTATAAGCAAAGTAAGTCCAATACCATCTTAAACTCTGAATACAGTTGTATTCATCTGCTCAGAGATAATCGACAAATATGGAAGTCTCTTTAATGTACGGTTCCAGTTTAAAAACTAAATAGCAACTACAGCCAGGAGAGCTTTTCAGCTACATATGGAAGCCTTGCTCCAGCTACACTTGGAAGCATTGTTCAGAGTAATTAATGTTCTAGGTACCTCTTGTTTGAATTGTAATAATGCTCTCTACAGAGTGCTATCCTTAATTGTGGCATTCAGGATGGCAATGGCTGTTTCCCTTTATATTCAGGTGACAAACAACTCCACCACCACCACCATTTTGGAAGCTGCATTGGTTGCCAGTTAGGTTTTGGATGCAATTCAATAAGGTTTTAGCACTTTTGACTCTATGTCACTCTATGCCCAGGACCTGGTTATACACTCTATGCCCTGGACTTGGTTATGCACAGGACAACATTTTCTCTTCTTCAACTGGCCACCCAATCAGATTAAAAATAGTCTCAATTCCCTACTCTTTTCAAAAATGTCATCTAATTGGACCTAGGAAATGGGCCTCTTTTATCCCTGCCCTATGCTTTGGAACACCTTCTCTATCAAATTGCCAGCTGAGCTTCAGAAGAGCCATTAGGAGCTATATTTTCTATCTATCACACAAGGAAGTTATGGATATTAACATATATTAGCAAATACCTGACTTAGATTTATTTTTGTCCTTGGTAATATTGGATAGTGGGTTTTTTTTTCAATTTTTCTTCTTGGTTGGGTTAATTAATGTTTTTATTGTTAGGTTCATCTTTAGATTTAATTGTGTTCTTTTTTAGTTTTGTGAAGTGTTTATGAATGGCAGAATACAAATAAAGTAAATAAAATAACTTTCTAGCATTATCAGATGAGACTCCACCCCCATACCACCCCAAATGACATAGACACTCTGCTTTAGCATTACATTTCCTTGGATAATATATCAGCATATGATTCCTTAAATACTGTTAAGGTAGGCCAGGTCAAGAAATGGACATGATAGAATTTAGGAATATTTTTATTATACTAAAGTAGAGTAACACAATCTTGAAGTTTCTTTGTCCTATCTTACAAAAGTGAAATTAAGGCAGAGTTTATCTTGGCTCTGGTGTAAGAACAGTATAATTTTTCTTCTACAAGTCATTTTTAATGGCTTGTTCATCTCTTTCCTATCCCCATGGTCAGCTCTACATTCCTTTACAAATACTCACAAATGCAATTAATATATATAAGAATAGATCAAGTGCATGATAGAAAATCATTCTATCAATTAATTCACGTTGATAAATTTTACACATAAACTAGGAAAGTATTCTACACAATAACAAAATAAACATTTGATAATTATATATCATTTCTTGAAGAATGCTTTCTACATTCAGGTCAAGTTTAATCAATTGGCTTTAAATGCTCTATGAAAATTCAAGAAAGATCAAGCTTAAAGCTCTAGCAATGGTGCTCTAAGGTTTTCCTCTTAAATTACCTAACACAGAAATAGTTAGTATTCTCAAAATCTTGCTTATCAGAGGCTTAACAGTGGGAATGTGTTATGTAATGAAAAGAGGGAGGGGGAATTCCACTGGCATATCTGATCTGAAAGCTAACAGGCTATCTTCGGTTACCAGAAGTGTCAGAACACGGAAAGGATGACTAAAGCAGCCCGCTTCCTTTCTTGTTCCCTGGAAATTACATAAAAATAGGAAATGTAGTAGAGTAAATATGCAAACTGAGACAAGATTTCTATTCTTTTGTTTCAAACTGTGAATTTGGACCTAAATTTCAAACAAAATTATTATAAAATTATACTTTCAAAAGACATGCTGGAATAAAAGAATGCAATTTGCTTTTTAAAATGTTGCATCCTTAACTCAATATGAAAGATAACAAGATTTTCAGAGGGAAGTTGAGATACTGCAGCTCTGGACCTTTAAAAAAATCAACCCCTTTTATGGTCTAAGCCAGTATTTCTCAACCTCAGAAACTTTAAGATATCTGGACTTCAACTGCCAGAATTCCTCAGCCGGCTGGTTTAAACAGTGGGAAATGTTGAATACAATTGCATACTCTGAAAAAAATGAAGCTTTGCAAATTGATCTAGATAAATTAGTTCAACAATTTGTCAAAGATTCTACAATAACATTGAATCTGATAATCAAATAATCAGTTGTTCAGCAATATTTTCCTCTCTCCTAAATGCATTAAAAGTTATAGCGCTTCTTTTTTCAGTATGGTGCCTAAAATATTTTTGAATCCCTGAATTGCTAGCCAACATCTCATTCTGGTTTATGGCAGCCTTCGTGGGGAAAGATCCCTTTAAAAACAGTGAGCACGGTCAGCCTTTCTCAACAAAGGAAAAAGACAACAGCAAATCATTTTCCAAAATATTTTTCAAGGAAACTGGATAGACTTGTCTATATAGTCTATGTAGTGATTAAAGGTCAGTCTTGACTTAAAGGTACTATAAAAAGATGAGATCAAGATAGAACTCAAAATGATTTTGCATGAAACATGAAAGGTATGAACAGTAGCTTTTTTCTGTCTAACAGTAATCAGCAATAGGAACCTCTCTAAAATATTGTAGTCCAGATACAGTTATACCATTTGATGAAAATTTGGTTCTAATTTTCACTTATTTGTAAACTACTTCCAAGTAAGGTATTTCAAAGCTACTGAAACTTTAGGCAAAACAAATATAGCACATTGTAGTCAATGACACAACACTAATTCAGTTACTACCATATAAAGTTGCAAAATGCCAATCAGCACACCAAAGTGTGGCAACATTTTTTACTAAACATTTCAGATTAGTTAAGCAATGGGCTTTTTGTTTGTAAAAATTCTACTTGCTATCTAATAAATTGACTATGACTATAACTGACATTAAGTAAATGCTCAAGGAATTTTGTAATAATTTAAATAAACAATCACTAAGAAATTAGACCCTCCACATACCGTAGTTAAATTTCTGTAACAAATGAGCCACCAACTTTTACAGTAATCACAAAATGTGGGTACAATTACAATCTGGACTGCTAGGTGCAGAGTTCCAACTTAATTCCTCTCTTCTAGAAATCCGCATTCCTATCTTTCTAGGCAGGAAAAAAAAGCAAACAGTGAATTACCACAACTTTTTTTAACAATGCTTTTTAACATTGACTCTATTGCCAATTTAATAATATTGGTTTATCAGCTTTATCTCGTGGAAAGGCAATTCAAGCACATTTGAAGAACACTAATGTTTATTTTACAAATGTTTATATGACATTTCATCTTTGTGTAGTTAGCAAAGTCCTTCTGTGTTTAAATAGATTTGTCATAATACAGATAAAAGATAACATTTCAAAACACTGTGCCAAAAGTGATCTCACAAATGAGTTGGCACTGTACTTAATTCACTGACAGATCAGATCCACAAGTTTATATTAAGCAAAGAAAAAATACTGGAAATAGCACTGAACATATGTTATCCATGATGTCTACTCAAATAAGTTCTCTCTCTTCCACTTCACACACAGCTAAAAGACAAGATTGAGCCCAGATACACTTGAGTTATATTAACTGAAGAGAGTGA